GGGGTCATATGATTGTTGGGTTTTTTTATCTGTATCTATGAAGCGCCTTGAGGCGACTTATGTTGTGATTTGGCGCTATATAAATAAAATTGAATTGAATTGAATTGAATTGACAATACCTGTCTGTATTTGTACTTTATGCTATGCCTAATAGACAATGATTCTTATGAAAATTTGTTGCTGTAGTGTGCTCTGTTTTTTTTTCTTGAATGTTTCATATTCGCACATAGGTTTTACAACAGGCTTAAGTACTTTAAAAACTGACATTTCACTTTTGTGACTGACTAAACTAAGCCACATTTTACAAAAAGTGTTCAAGGTAACATTTTCTGTTCCTCTGCAGACAAGCTTCCCCTTTGAAAGACTTTACTTCCCCTGAGCAATGTTATATTTGAAATGTTTGTCCTGTCTGGAGTTTCAATGCTAAGAGTAAATACAACTAAATCTGAAAGAGTGGTGCAACTTTCAGTTGATCGTGTGCAGTTAGTAAAGAGGTGTGAACTGTGTGCATTTATTGTTATTGTTCCTGATTTCTTTCTTATCTAGTACAGTAACATGCAATCCAAAACAGGCAGTGCATTCCATAACATGCAGAGTGCAGAGGTCTTAAGAAATGATGTATGTTATGCGGTGTAAAGTTTGCGACATTGACGCTAGCATAAAAAAGCAAGTGAAACCAACTAGCAACGCAGCTGATTAAGAACAAAGGTGGTAGTAAAGTAATAAAGGGGCGCCGTGTCAGCTGTCAGCTTCCTAATGCACAGCTCCTTACCACATTTGTGTCCGTTTCTATGGTGTACTCCACGACACATGTGGGGTCAGCCAAGGAGCCTCGTTCCCAGCTGCAGTCCAGTTGAATCAGGGCACGGCATCGGTAGTGACATGTGAATTTACAATCTGTAAATGAAGAAAGTCATAGAGTTTAGACTCATGTTGCCATACATGAGAATGTGCAAAATGAAAGTCATAATGTTGTGTAAGTGTGATTGCCTCTCCTCTGCTGGAGGGTAAAGGTTACTACAGTTTTTACCTGCAGTTATTCACTGTTTTTAGTAAAACAACAATGTTGTTTTGATTCCCTGCCTCCTCTGGTCTGCATGTTGGAATATCCTTAGGTAAGATACTGAACCCTAAATTGCCCGGCTGCATTCACTGGAGTGTGAATCTTAGATTAAAAGTGCTTATGCATACAAACGAGTGTATGGGTGAATGCAGCAGTGCTTCAATAGTGTAGAAAAGCATTATGTAAGTACCAGACCGTATAGTCACGTATATAAAATTAATTGCAAATACTTGAAGAAATATAAATAGCAATTCCAATCAGCTGAATGCAGCTGTGAAAACATATAGTCAGCTGGAAAGCTTATGTCTCTTTGCAAAGACTGTGACAATGTTTCCTGTTCAGGTTACAGTAAGGGACCCCTATTTCCCCACACTAAATGCTTTGTACAAACCACTGCTCTTTATTTAGGTGGGTTTCAGTTAATGAAACTTTTGCAAATGCACATATGAGTGTAGCTGAACCTCAGCCTAGACAATGACCAAACCCCTAAGTGTATGCAGGTTAGATACTGGGTAGATGTGAATAATTATAAAAATTGTACAGGCAACAATTCTCTTTATTTTTTCCAGAATGTTAACATAGAGTGCATTTATGTTTATTTAGTATGAAGCCTTGTTTAAGCCATCAGGCTGGAATGACTGTAATCTGGGCTTGCAGGTACGCTGGTGGTTGCCTCTTCCTCTGTGTTAGTAAATTTCCTCTTTCTGTCAGTACGCTCTTTTCATGCAAATGCACCAAAGCATTGACACATGCACACACCCAGATGCACAAAAAGCATATGTAAGCCAACTCACTGACACACCGCAGGCTCTGCTTGTAAAGGCCCCAGATAAAGTCTCCACACAGGTCGCACCACGTGGGCTGAGCGTGGCTACAGGGTTGGAAGTCGTGGCCCTCTCCTTTCTCCTCTGTGAGCTGTGGGTCCTGGCTGCTGCTCAGGACTCTGATAATGCCCACACGACTCAGCAGGTCTGGGACCCTTCCCGGGCTGATCCTCAGGGCGTTGGTTCTCTCTAGGCGCGGAGGTGAGCACGGAGCGCGCGTCCCCGTCAGCTCTATCTGCTCTTTGGTCGACCTGAGGTCACGGAGCTCGATGAACTCCTCCCAAGACATTGTGTCACTCAGGGCCGGGTTTCCTCCATTTTTATCACTAACTGACAAAAAACACAGACTCTGTATAATCAGAGTGCAACCTGAAATCATGAAGTTAGTGTTAATTCAGCTTAATGTACTAAGGTACCAAATATGAATGTACTTAGTAGTACTCTTAGTAGGACAGTTAGGTTAAACACATAAAGAGCATAATGATGTTATATATTGTCAAGGTGCATTCTGACTGTTTGGCACCATTACACCATTAATAGTGCATTATAACTTAAAAATGGACAGTTTTTTATGCAAATCTCAAGTCTGCAAATTCAGAAGAATAAAAGTTTACAAGCAGTGAAATATAAACATAAAGCAGCATAAATAAAAGAGTATACAGTGGGAGAAACAATTAATTGACTGATTATTTGATTGATTAACTGATGAATTTGTAAGTTTGCTCGCTTGAAAAGAAATGAACAATATCTAATTTTTATGGTAGTTTCATGTTGAAGGAGAGAGACAGAATACCAATCAGAACCAGAAAACCCCCCACATTGTATCAAGTCATGAAACTCATTGAGTAAGGTAAATATGTAATCTTCTACAACACACTCTGACTTCCATGGATTGGCTGTGTGTCCACGTGACAATTAATCACTCAACCAATCAGTTAAACATAATCTTAATGTCATTACATGTATAAAGTTCACTTGTCTCCAGATAATCAGTTTCTTCTTTTATTCGAAACTCACTATCACCATAGGCAAGACCAAAGAGCTGTCCAAGGCTCTTTGGTCTGGAAAGGGCTAAAAGAAAATCAGCAACAAGCAAGAAGCTTGACAAGAAGGTGACAACTTTCGGTCTGGAGTGCCATGCAAGCTCTTACCTCATGTGAGGATGATCATGAGAAAGGTGCTCGATCAGCCCAAAACTACATGGGAAGAGCTTGTTAATAATCTGATGGCAGTAGGGACCAAAGCAACACTCTACACTGTAATGGACTGAAATCTTGCAGCACCCACAAAGTCCCCCTGCTCAAGAAGGCACATGTACATTTGAAGTTTGCCCAAGAACACCCAAGTGATTCAGAGAAGGTTTGGGAGAAAGTGCTGCGGTCAGATGAAACCTTAATGGAGCTCTTTGGCATCAAGTTGACCTGCTGTGTCTGGAGGAAGAGAAAGCATGGAGGTGGAAACATTATGCTTTGGGGTACAGGACGATTTCACTGCACTGAGGGGGCAAACAGCAGCCAGGAAACCTAAAGGATTTGGAGAGTTTCTGTAAAGAGGAGTGGGCCAGAATCCCTCCTGAGATATGTGTGTGTGAGAAGAAAACCTGGTGACCAAGTACAAGAAACGTCTTACACACTTACTGTGTTTGCCAACAAGGGTTTCTTCAACAAGTACTACATGATGTGTTATTTGGGGATCAAATACTTATTTCACTGAATAACATGCAAATCACTTTTTTGGGGTTTATTTTGGGGAGATTTTTGGTTGACCTTCTGTCTTTCTCCATTAAAATGAAGCTACGGTTAAAAGACTTGACTAGACTAGACTTCGTAAGGGAGCAAACTTACAAATTCAGCAGGGGATCAAATAATTATTTCTCCTACTGTATGTGGCATTGTTCTTTCCTACTACCTTTCAGTGTGGAAAAAACATATCTGTAACTGTAATCAAACTACTTTTTATTAGCTCTGTCACTTTGTAGTTGTTTCGGTACTGTGGTCTGTTGACGGTCAGCCACATCTCCTGACGCATTCAGGGAGGATGCGCGTCAACAAAATAATTCACACTCACGAAACTTCCAATCATTTTTCAAGTGGTTTAATTTGGTGTTTATTTTGAAATCCTGGGGGACCACCCTCCTTTCTTGTTTGTTTAAAAAGAAAATCATGGAAACGCCCCTGAGTACAAATACCTTAAAACTTTAATAAAATACAACGAAGATTTGTAGACTTGCACTAAGTAGTACTATTTCTTTCTACTTTAGTAATTTCCCCCCTCAAACCACTGTCATGTAGAATTAAGCCTAACAATAATACAAAAAGCTAAAGAATGACATGTGCCGTCAAATGTAGTTTAGTTTAGTAGTAGAAATACATCAGCTCCGTGTCCATGAAAAAAAACCACACGCGGGGAGATCATTCAAAACCTAATTCCCAACACAGCTGCATATTAAACTAGTCACTCATAAACAGCGAAGTGAAACAAAATCCAGTGATTTTAAGTCTAACTCACCAAAACACGGGAGAAAACAGCCCCGTGGCTACCGCTTTGTCTCAAAAGTTCTTCCATCCGAGGTCGAAAAAAAAAAAAAAACTTTCCGCTGAAATGTCTTAAGGTTTCCAAATAACGGAGGTGTGCAGTCTCGGCGACATCTCTGGAAATAATTTCTCATCACCAGCCGCTTACAGCGAACGAAACCCCGGGCCCTCCTTTTCACGGCAGAGCCGGAGCACGTCTTTCAAGATGTTACCCATCTGTTCAAGTCGGACTGCGGCGCAGGAGGAAGCGGCCCATCATGAAAAAGAGAGAGTGAGATGAGACTGAGCTGCACCGACATCCGGAATGTTTTCAAACAGGGGGTGCTTCTGAGTCCCGAGCACAGCTGAGTGGGCGTGCAAAGTCCCCCTCCCCACTCCTAAAGCCACTATCTGAACGCATCACAGACCTGAGCTTCAAACTGGGTGGCTCTACCTAAAAGCAATAGGAAAATGGGTTATTGTGCTATTTTGCTTTGTACCTTCTCTGCATTGCATACAAAGGTCAAAACGGTACTGTTGGTGAAAGAGAAGATGCAGCGCTTCCCTGGCACTTTGATGAAACAGGCAAACACAGATGCATGCAGGTTTAAAACTTTATTGCAGTTTGATTACAACGTCCTAAATTCTTCAACAGTTTTAATGATAAAAGAAAAAAGAGTCTGTGTATAAATGTGTCGGGCTACTAAGGAAACACACTGTTCTATTTCTGTCATCAGCCACAGAAAGAGCCGTTTGGTCTCCCTCAGCTGATGATCTTCTCGGTGGTCTCGGTCATGAGCTGGCAGGCTTTCTTGTGTTTTGGCCAGTGCTTCACTTGACACTCTCTGAAAACATACATCAGCAAGATAATAACGCAGACATTTAGCACATTCTAAACAAAAATATGCATTTTGCATCCAATACTGAAGAAACACACCTCTGTGTACTCCATTTGTTTCTCAAATGTGTTTAAATTTGTTTCTCAGTGCCCCGGCGAGGCTTACGTCAACTTTATCAAAACCTTAGGAGCGATGTGTGAGAGGGGGAAAGTACTGAGCCGCTCTCACACGTGACCTTTTGATATTTTGAAAAGAGAAGCAGCACATTTGTTTTGTCTTACTTGTGGTAATCTGCAGGAATTATTCCCCTTCAGACACCTTTGCAGTACTGGAAGTACTTTGTGTGGTTTACGTGAGCATGCAGGAGGCAGCACACATGACACGCATTCGCTACCAGTGGTAAATGGACTGGTTTTTATATGGTGCTTTTCTACTCTACCTGACAACTCAAAGTATTTTATACAACTTGCCACATTCACCCATTCACACAAACACTTTTTTTAGCTTTTCGAGGCTGGCTTCAAAAACAAAAAGTAAACGAAAAAAACGCAAAAAGTAAATTAGGACTCCACCCTCTAATCTATATAAGGTAACTGGCTTCTAATCTGGCTTCAAAAAATGAAAACGGTGGTGACCAAAAACTAAAATTAAAGCTGCAAAGTCCAAAACCAATGAGCTCATGGTGGTTAAGGCCATCTTTAATACTGTTAGTGACTCTCACATGTGCACTTCTGCAGGGAATCTTTGTAGCCTACAACGTAACCTATGGAAGTGGCCAACTTCATTGCTAGCATTTATGATTATTGTGTGTGGTGCATTATGTGTAATAACCATGTGGTCGTGTCCTGGTGTTTTGCATGTAGTGCTGACAGAGTCCTAGGAAGGTGCAGGACTTTCATGCATGTGTTAAAACAGCCCTGAGCTTTGCCTTCAGGCTCAGCTCAGAGTCTGTCAGTACCTGTGACAGTACCACTCTCCTCGGCAGCGAGAACATCTCTTTGTGGCCTCTCTCCCACAGGATCCACATTTTGGTTTCTCAGGAAGTAAACTCTCCATTACATCCAAGTTGTACGTCTGGGCCAGCCTAGTTAAAACAAGCGCTGATTATTCAGAGCGCCTGAGTTGTTTCTCTGTTCCTTCTCTAATCAGTCAGACCTGTGTTTTCAGTGTTACCTCTGGGCCTGTTGTCTCAAGTCACTTTCAGATGGGCTGAATGTTTCTTTGACTTGATACTTTGCTATTGCCTTCCACTTTCTAGAATTCTCACTGATAATGCGGTTCCACATTTCTGGGATCTATAAATAGAGTAGAGCCGAGTGTAAACGGACAGGCACATTGTTTAGGTACAGGGATAAGTGAACATTTGTGAGTGTGACTGCACCTGCTCCAAAATCAGCTCTTTTTTTGGAGGGGCTGGATCTGAAACAGCAAGATGAGCCAGGAAACGCTGCAAATCCACCAGATTTGGCAGCTGATCAATCAAGACATCAGTCAAGAAACCTCTGAGCTGTGGCACATGAATGACAACAAATACAGTGAAGCAAGAATAACAACGTATGAATCATCAGTTTACACAGACTGCATAAGAATAAAATGTGATTACAGGAGGATGCACATGGCTGGCTGGTTATGTAATTAATGGAGCAGGAAGAGGATGAGAAAGCTCATAATAGGAGGAAACATCTTGGTCAAAACAACCCTTGGAAACTGAATGTGTGCTCTAACAAGGGAGGAGATGAGATATGATGCTGGAGGACAATAACCCGGCACTCACACACTTGCCAAACACCAGATTACAGCTACTATCCAGCAGCCATTTGGACGGACGAGTTGATCCAATTTAATATCAGCACAGACAATGAATGACAACAACTCCGCATGATCAGTGCATCTAAAGTTATAATAAAACAATCATCCACTGTATACCTTCAGAAGCTGGCTCTTGTTGAAACTGTTGAAGTTGTATTTTCTCTGGAATTCTTCTTTTAGCAGCAGATTGTAAAGGGAAAGCCAGACCTGACCGTCCAGTTTATTCATTTTTAAATGATCCTCTACAGGTATCGTCTGCCACTTGCCATCATTGTGCTTTTGCACGTTACCTACAGTGGGAGACAATGAGTAGGTTATTGAATAGTAAGAAACTTTAGCAGGTGTGAAAGGTTAGCTTCCTGGCTTGGGTAGCTTTTAGAAGCCTTTAAAGTTTTTTTTTATTTTTTATTTTTTTACCAGTGATATAGATTAGTAGATCAACACCAATCTCATGTTTGAGGTGATACCTTCTCTGCAGCGACTCCAGGGGCAGTGGTCAATCAGCTGAACCAGTACACAAGGAAGGTTATGGGTGCACAGCATTCGACTGATAATGCTGATGCTGCAAAGAAACACATTCCTTTGGTCAGCTGCAGCGTGTTTCTCAGTGTAATACTGAGTATACTTCCACTAGAACATAACCAAGTGAATTCCAGGGCGCCATACCTGTCTGCGTGGTCTGTAATGTAGCACAGCACTGACACGGCTTTCAGAGAGATTTCAAACTCCAAAGCTGCACTCTGCACCTGCAGCTCCTTCAAGAAACAAAACAAAGCGTTCAAAAGTTTGCGACAGACTTCGGCGAATGTGTCAAACCAAAAACAAAACATACATTCTCACCTCTAGAGAGGATGTCTGTTTGTGTTGGTCATATGTCACAGCAACATCCTTAATCGCTTCACTTGCCAGCAGGGTGAGTTTTCGATGGCAGTAATCCACCAAGTCAAGAAGAGAGTCATCTGCTGCATCACATGAATCCTGCATAACAAGACACAACCGCTTGAACACTTGCCATAATGCTTAATTTACAATTTATGTTCTCAGAGAATGACAGTCCGTGCTTTCATGGTGTGTGAAATGCTTTAAGATATGTAGGGATTATTTGAGTTCTTACTGACCTTGTGAAACATTATGGTTTCAAGTAGATTTATGATGGTGGCTTCATGATGGATCTAAAAAGGAGTCATAACAGAACACATGAAACATGAGCAATGTGAGCTGCTCATTTAACATCTCATTTAACACTCACCACCATGTAAAGATGAAAAGTCTTCTCTGGATTGAAATCCTCCAGCTGGCATAAGATAGGAAACACTTTTTTCTTCCACACCTCAATAAGGATCATCTCATGGACCAGGATGTGTATCTGGAAAGGGAAAGGAATCACTCCCCTCTAAGCACTTCTTAGAAAATTGTAAAAGGGCTTGCGTAAAAGCTGACATTTTATTATTGTTTATATGCAGTTGTGGCAGTCACCTTTCCAAATGAAACCAGGAGGTCCTTGACAAACTCATCGTGCATGGCAGAGGCATTCAGTATTGCCTGCATGTTAAGTTTCTCAATATAATCATGCTGCTTGAACCATCTGCTAGCACACAAAGACAATAAAAAAGCATCACTTCTAAAGGTCGGAATCACCAGACAACCAATGACATGATATTGTCACAATACTCATAATATTACATTAGTGTTATTCAATAAGATAAAGTTATGTTTTGATGCTGAGATTGTCAACATACCAACACTGTCACCAAAATCTGCTCTATATGTTGACATAAGATGGAATCAGTCTGTAGACAGTCTGCGACTGAATGGGGTCAAGTTAGCAATTGAATGCAATCAGTTACAGCAGCTAAGTGTGTAAATCATCGAATATCACACCGAAATGGTGGGTATACTTATGGAGTGGCAGCAGGGAGTCCAATTTCTGTCCCCGGAGAGAAATTCAAACATGAGGAAGCTACCTCCAGATTTTATCAGGATGTAATGAGGAGCAAATCCAAAAGCAGGACACAGAATCTCTGTATGCAAAAGTAGCTTTATTGACTCATAAAATGTGAACAAAGGGTGCTGCAAAAAACTGGCAGGAAACCCCAAAACTAAAGACATAGAGGGAAAACCAAGTCGTGAGATGGGAAACCAGGGAATCAAATGAAGACGGACAATCTGACCAAGACACAGGAGAAGAAAGAATAAACCAAAGCAGGAACAAAAACTAAGTAAAAATACAAGAATGCAAAAGCTAACACACAACAAAAATCCCAGTTAGCTCTAAAATAAGTCTGATTTAACTCTCAGTTCCTTTTAGTCAAGGCCCAGGGCCTTTATTATAATGAAGTATAACTTCTGATTTGAATATTCTTTACAGAGAATCTTATCTGTCTGGACCAGATCATCTCTCTCTTAAGTATTTAAAAGACACATATTATCAGGCTCTCTGCTTCAGTGCATTCAATTTCAAACAATGCTTGAGTAAAGTGCGTCAAATTACGCAAATTAGAGTGTCAGTTTTAGTTTGTGTAGATTTTAATCTATATTTCAAGAACTTGAAACATACACTGATTTCAAGGAGTCAAAACTAACAGTGTTCTTTGGCAGATGTTTCCTTTTCCAACCAGTCAAAAACCAATAGATCACATAGATTAAAAGCTATTTTCAGGAGAAAAAAAAGAGCTAATCATGCAAGTGAAGACGGCAATAATGTGGGTTAATAACAAAATCTATCAGAGACATATTAGGTTTATGTGGTTGAACATTCACAGGATGCAGATGTACATATTTCTCAATATAAACATCACAAGACGACTACATGGCCAGAACCTCAGGGGATTCACCACAACATGCAAATGACTGATAAGCCTCAAAAAAGGACCAGATTTGTCATCACAAAAAAAGGGAAAGAAACTAAAAGTAACCAACAAAAGTTGATGAACAAAGATCTGACAAAAAATCTCTATCTCTATCAAAATGACGCAAAGAGGAAGTGGAGAAAATAGAAACACGTCATGAGCTGTAGTCCTGAATGCATTTCTCTTTTATACTTGACCACACTGATAAGTTTCTTTATATGTGCAGATTTTGGGGAGACGCAGTCAACGTACACACATATTCACACAGCTAGACAGTGCTACGATGTCAGGCAGGAGCTGCATGACCTCTGTTATGGTGCCATACACAGGCAGGCTGATAACCATGAAAAAGCCAAAAGAGGAAAAAGAAGGAAGTCAGACTGGGAAACTAAGGCAACTTTACTTGTGTCTGAAACGAAGCAGAAAACTAGGACAGAAGAGACATTCCTGTGTGTCTATTGAACCTGTAAAGGGTATTAATAATGTATTTTAATGTATTACATTAAATCCCAAAGTACAGTTAGGTCCATATATATATTTGGATACTGACACAAGTTTTGTGTTTTTACTTGTTTACTGAAACATATTCCAATTACAGCTATTTAATGGAGTTTCAGCCCCTTGAAACATGTGCCACCCTCTTTTTAAAGAGACCAAAACTAATTGGACAATTGACTCAAAGGCAATTTCATGGGCAGGTTTGGTCAATTCCCTCATTATGTCATTATCAATTAAGGAGATAAAGATTGATTTAGAGTTGATTTGAGGTGCTGTGCTTGCATTTGGAAGATTTTGCTCTCCATGCAGGTGAAACAAGTGATCCTTAAGCTGCAAAAACAGAGGAAAAAAAAACATCTGAGAAATTGTTACGAGTTTAGAAGTGGCAAAATCTACAGTTAGGTCCTGAGAAAGAAAGAAAGCACTAGTGAACTCAGCAACAAAAAAAGACCTGGCCATCCATAGAAAACGGCAGTCCTGGGTGATAGCAGAACACTTTCTATGGTGAAGAGAAAACGCTTTACAACAACCAAGCAAGTGAACAACATTCCCCCGGAGGTAGGTGTATTAATATCCAAGTCTCCCGTAAGGAAAAGATTGCATTAAAAGTAAAGCCGCTGCAGTAAAGGCCTGGCGGAGCATTAAAAAGGAGAAATCCTAGCATCGGGGGGTGTCCATGAGTTCAAGACTTCAGGCTGTCATTGCCAGCAAAGGGTTTTTCAATATTAGAAATTAACATTTTATTTTTAATTATTTAATTTGACCAATTACTTTTGAGCCCTTGAAATGAAGGGATTAAAATGCTTTAGTTTCTCACATTTTTAGCCAATCTTTTTGTTCAACCCACTGAATTAAAGCTGAAAGTCACTTCAACTTCATCTGAGCTATTTAATTTAAAATTCATTGTGTTAATGTACAGAACCAAAATTAGAAAAAAAAAGTGTCTCTGTCCAAATATTTATGGACCTAAGTGTAGCAGATGGTTTCCTGCACATTATAAAAAAATTTTTTTTAGCTCTTGATGTTTTTATTACCCAAATAATTGGTATATATATTGATGTGTTTATTTCACAAAGGAATGATATATTTGGTTGAATTAAAGAGAAGAGGGGGGGGGAGCTCTGGCTGCTGCACTTTCATATTCAATATGAATATCAGAAGGTCAGAGTTGTATTGTGATGGTTACTTCTCATTGACAAAAACTGATGGACAAAAGTATCACCAGAAATAATTAGTGCTTGAAATGTGAATTTCTTGGCTGAGGGCCCCCTCCAATGCTCAAACCTACAGTCTGCATGGGTTCGCGGCAAAAATGCAATCAGCGTTATTTAGTTATATATGATAGCAATATTATAGCTACATCTGAATCTGACGTTTTGCTCAATTTCAGCTGTTTAATTTGCACCACTGAGTGCTTTGGGTTGATTTTTATTTTATTTTATTTGTATAACAAAGCACATTAAGCTCCCTTATTTAGCATTTACAATCTGTACTGGCTAATGAGAAATAATCTAATATAGTCTCTATTTATTTATCACATTGTTTTTCTTTCTTTTCCCCTTTTTTGTACGTTCCATCGTGTTTACAAGCTAATTTAACTCAGGTGCAGAGTTAGTTGTTTCGTCTCACCTCTCTGAGCCCACTTCCTTGAGGGAGAAAGTTTCCAGACTCTGGATAAAGCCTTCTGCTTCAACGGGAAGAATCACTGATGTATCCATTACGTTGAGAAAAGATATTACGCAATAAAGAAATAAATGACTTGTCTAACTGGAGCTTGAGGAGACTTGTTCGTACTGTTAACGGTTCGAAGTTAGCAACACGAAGTGTTTCCGGTAGTTGTCATGGTTACGGAAAACCAAGGGAACGGTGCAGGGTTTTTTTCCCGCCATAGAGGGGCAGCAGAACCTCAAACAAATACACAACATAATACAGTTGTACATTTCTGGCAAAACCTTAAAAAAAAATCAGTTATGTCAATAAAAATAATCCAAGGAGAGTTGTTGTGAAATATGACAGCATCAGCAAAGCGCCAGAAAACTTTTTTTTCCTTGTGCAGAAATCATATTAATTAAACTAAGTAAATTATAACTAAAGCAACATAAACAAAATATTCCTAAAGAGGGTCCTAGTAATATCAAGATACTAGACCTGTGGACGATAGTCTGCTCATAGGCTGAGGAGGATTTTATCCATTAAATGAACCATTACACTCTCACAATAGCCCAAGGTTCAATGTTCAAACTCAACCAGGATGGTAATAATAAAACTAAAATGAATGGATAACAAGAAAATGCTGAACACATAAACAAAAAAAAGAATAAAAAGTAAAATACAAAACTATGATAACCAGCTTATTGTAAATTAACCTGATTACCAGCTTCACCCTGTTACAACTGGTTTTAAAGTTTTTAGAGTAGCTAGTTCCTTTTTAATGGATGTCTTCATCATACTCCAGTGATTTTCTTTTTGGTGACTCGAAGTTTCCCCTGTTGCTCATACTCCAGAGTATGCAGCAAAAGACAGACAGCCTAACCTGCAGGTGACTCATGATGGTGACTTTCCTACTTTTTTCCTCACAGCCCTTGGATGAAGTTAGTCTTTACTAAAACGGTCTGTCCTTCAGGGCTGAATTTTATTCAATAAAATAAAAATGTGTAGCAGCTGCACCTGTCTACAATGTCCTCATGGCAAAAATCAATCAGACCATACTATTTGGATTAAATCATTCATGTTGTTGGTCAAAACAAATTATTTTACGTATAATGTACTCTAGTTTGTACATATCAGAAAGTTGTTAAATCACCAATTAGATAGATCCTGTTAGTACTGGTTTGGACCCACTTTTGGACTGTTGCAGCAGAAATTGAGATCAGACCAGGCAACATTTTTCCAGTCTTGTTGTCCAAAATTGGCGAGCCTGTGTGAATTGCAACCTCGGGTTCTTGTTCTTAGCTGATAGGAGTGGCACCCGATGCTTTGTTTTCTGCTGCTGTAGGCCATCTACTTTAAGATTTGGCATGTTGTGCTTTCATTAACGCTCCTCTGAATACCTTGGTTGTAACGACTGGTTATTTGAGTTACTGTAGCCCTCTTATCAGCTCAAAGCTGTCTGACCATTTTCTTCTTACCTCTGGGATTAGTAAAGGCCTTTATGCACAGAGAAGTACCGCTCACTGAATATTTTCTCTTTTTTTGGGCCATTCTCTGTAAACACTAGTGATGGTTGTGTAGGAAAATCCCAGTAAATCAACAGTTTCTGAAATACTCCGACCAGCAACAACCATAATACATTCAAAGTCACTTCTTCCCCATTCTGATGCTTGCTGTGAACTTTGTCAGGTCTACAAAAGTCTCAGTACAAGTCTGTATTGAGTTGCTGCCACGTGATTAGCTAATTAGACATTTGTGTTATCTTATTAGCAGCTGAACCGGTGTGCTTCTTAAGGTGAGTGCATATGGTAGTGAAAAAAGTACTTGCAAACATGAAATTCAAGTCATCCTTCTAAATAAAAGTACATGAAATTATTATTAAAAACATATTAATGGCGGGTGTAATTTCAAAGCATTTTATTTCAAATATTTTCTTCACAGTGTGATAACATAAGACTGTACCTGCTTGTTCCAGGGCTTCACTCCCATGATGAATTTTACTGCCGCTAAGTTACATTAAAAAGTTTTTACTATTTTGTAAACAGTTATAAATAATATGTTTCATCACCTACTAATCTGAAGGTCAGACATATTTAAATATCCTTGGGTAAAAAAATGAACCGAAACTGCCCTTATCTGTGTGTGAATGGGTGGATGTATCTTGCAGTAAGAAACGCTTTCAGTGCTTCCGTTAGAGCAAAAATGCAGCATATAAATAAAGTACAAATTCAAATACAAATGCTAATAACATTGCATTAACTAACTGCAAAGGGATCTTCAACCCTCCAGGAATGAGTAGAATCAGCTAAAGGATATGTGGCAGTGCAATCTGTTTTTATGTTGGAATGTTATTTGTGCAGTAGAAATGACATGAATTTGGGGTTATAAGTAGAGTCAAAGCAATAAAGATAGCAAAATATGTATGAAGTATGAAACCCACGTGAAATAGATATTTTTAGCCTTTTTTCCATTTAATGAATGGATTGTATAGCCACATAATGAGTGTGATATCCAATCTTTCAAGTTTTTTTTCTTTTTTGAACAAAACTAAGCTAAGAAAACTGCAAAACGCTACTCATTATTTTCTCTGTTAATTGAAGAAACCTCCTTCTCTAGTTCAAGGCATCTTTGGCTGCTTAGGCACTGCTGTACCCTTCTGCCCCATCACTTCCAGCACACGACAATATTAGGATCGTTTTCCAAACGTTCATCAAGCTCCTGGTAAGTAATCCCTGTAAAATCAGGACATTGTAAGCACACTTGTTTCACACCATCAGTTCTTAAGTTTTGTCCAACAATCAAAGAAGGCTTCAAACCCTGCCTGTTTTGCAGCAGATCTCATCGTAACTATGACAACCGGTATAGAGTCGAGGAGGCCTGCTTCTCTCGTCGCGGATCACCTTCACGGGATACTTCTGCAGCCGTCGAATAAGACACTTCATTAGTCCAAACTGGATCAGCCTCCTTAGGAGAAACGAGTGACATGACACACATACAGTATGAGCCAGTGCCACTCTGACCTGAATTTTCAGGAGCGCTAAGTCTTTTCAGGAACTGATCATTTGAGCGACGCTAACCTCTCGTCGACCCTTTGAAGCTGCTGTGAGTAGCGTGAGCAAAGGTCTCGGACTGTTGTTCCCGGACTTAGCCCACAATACAGCTGGAACACATCTCTCAGACTCGCGCGTTTCTGACCTGAAAGTGACAGGGCAAAGCTGCACAGTTAACGTCACAAAATAAATAAAGATTAACACGTGTTTTAATGGTCATGACCCCAACTAACCCTGCTTAGTGACGTAGTTAAGGCACTCCTCCTGAATGGACTTGTCATCTATGAGGCTCTGGACTTTTGGGGTGGTGCAGTACACATTAGAGTACTAGAGAAAGACCCATGAAGGCAACCAGAACAAGTCATCAGGAAGTATTAGCCACTTTTTAATAGCTTGCTTTTTACAGCAGAATATCAGAAGACTAGAGACAATAATTTAATGTATTTGTTAAAAAAAAGAAGAAAAGATTAAAATTAAAGCTTTAAATAAAAGGCCTTGCACAGTTAGCCTTCCCTCACTTAAAAAACCTGCCCTAATATTCTGTATTCAAAGTGGTGCATAGAGAGCAATGTGCAATATATAAATTGGCTTTCTTTTGAAATAAATGAACCCTTTTATCAGAATGGCCTTCAGAACCGATGCTTGCTTTACGGCTTTACAACCTGTACTGCTCCCCCCCCCCCAAAAAAAAGTTTTTCTGCACAAGAAAATTCACTTTCACAAAAACAGAAAAAAACAAAACATTTCCAGAACACAGAAGGAATTATATGAAAAAAAAATTACAACTTCTCAATTAAAACTAACATCGGCCCTAATGGTCCCTGATAAACTGTTCCACTACACTCATATATGTGTGATGTGAAATTAGTTTAATACCTGGAAAATTGACACCAGAGTCACAACACCATAGTACCTGTGAAGTTAAAAAGAGAAGTAAATACATCTTTTTGAAGTGTATTTTGACTACAGAGTGAAAATGCAAGTACACCCCCCTCATTCAGTAGCTTGAAAAACCACCTTTAGCTGCAATAACTTCAGCTTATCGTTGTCTCTATGACTTTATCAGTCTCTCGCGTCATTGTGTTATAATGTTTCCATTCACTGAGGTTTGTGGGCATTTATTTATGCACAGCTCTCTGAAGGTCCCACAACAGCACTTCAATCAGGTTGAGGTTTGGACTTTGACTGGTGATTGCAACATCCTGACTCTTTTATTTTTCAGTCATTCTGTTGCAGATTTGCTGCTGTGCTTTGGATCATTGTCCTGTCAGATAACCCAGTTTTGGCCAAGCCTTACAGTAGCTTTGGGACCGATGGCCTCACATTTGACTTTGGAATATTTTGGGATACACAGGAGTTCATGGTTGACTCAATGACTGCAAGGTCACCGGGTTCTGTGGCTGCAAAGTTCAAAACATCACCCCTCTACCACTGTGCTTGACAGCTGGTGCGAGGTGTTTGTGCTGATATGCCGTGTTTGGGTTTTGTCAAACAGCGCTGTGCATTCTGGTTAAATGTCAACACTTTTGGTCTCATCTTTCCAAAGGACATTGTTTCAGAAGTCTTGTGGTTTGTTCAGATCCAACTTTGCAAACCTACACTGTGCCACCATGCTCCTTTTACAGAGAAGCAGTCCTTCCAAACAAGCCATACTTCTTCAGTCTTTTCTAATTGTGCTGCCATCAACTTTAACATGCTAACTGAGCTCTTGTCAGTGTGTGTGTGTGTGTGTGTGTGTGTGTGTTTGTGTTAAAGGTTTCGCTGAGTACTGTACGACCTGACCTTGAAGTGAATCTGCTGGGATGTTAACCTACAAGAAGTCCCGGGAAGATTGTGGGATTGTGTTAGCTCCCACCTGAATGGTCCACAGCGAACTATTAAAACTTCTGCATTTACAGAGGCGTTCACACTTGGTTTATCAGTTAATCAAAACAACAACATGAAACAAAGTTGTGGGATGAAGCAGTACGTGTGTGAGGTTACTAAAGAGTACAACTGTATTTACTGAAAAATACTTACAGGAGATTCTGCACTGCAATACGAACAAGATTCAGCTCAACGTCTGCTTCAGCAGAAATTTTCTGGATGTGTCTAAATCCATCGATGTAGGGAAGAATCTGCAGTTAGCAGCAAATAGATAAGGGTTAGAGGCACGTAGTGCTTTTTGCATTACTGTGTAACTAAATGCTGTAAACATGTTAACTCATAAAAGCAATAAAACAGTATTGTACCAATAAAGGGCATCTTGTCTTGCACTAATGCCTTCTTTCAAATCATAAAACAAAGGATATAAAAACGTGCTTATATCACTTCCAGCACAGCTGATAAGTGTTTAAACACTGATCTTTCTTCCAAGCACTTCTTAGAGTGCTATCAAATACCTCTCAAGAGCCGCAGCCAGAGGTTGTTGACATTGAAAGCCTACCTGTTGAGTGGTGAGATCCCACTGAGACTTGATAAAGTGGTCTTTGCACTGGGTAAAGACTGGCACGTCGTACTCCTGAACTATTGGGGGGTCTTTTCGCAGCTGAATCAGCTTTAGATGAATGGTGTTAGACTCATCTTAAAAAGGATACAACAAACAAGAGTAAGAGCAGTTTAAAAAACAAACAAACACTGTTGCTGCCAACCAACATGTGAATACTGCCTATTTGTAGCTGGTAAATTCTTAAATAAATTTTTTGACTCAGAAACATCAGCCTGCATTTCCCATCTCTGAATTTCTAAAAAGAGTAACAGTCAGAGCAAAGCCGCTTGCATAGTGGCACTGTTTTGTCTTGACTTTACCTAATCAATCCAAACAACCACATAATTTCACTTTGGGCCATAACCCAGCCAGCATGTTGGTTGGCTGATAAGGGCTTATCAGAGATATTGGAAAACCTGTTGTTAGCGAACATAATGCATAACAAAGCTCTACTCAGTGAAGAGTGTGCTCTCCTACTGCCTGGATGTCTGCCACGCAGGGGCAACTACTATAACCAGGAAGGCTGTGCAGAGGGTAATTAATACTGCCCCAAACATAACTGGCTGCTCTCTGCCACTCCTGGAGATCCTCTTTCCTCAGGAAATCCAGGGCCATCACAGGTGACTCCTCGTGTCCCGCCATCCCTGTTTGACCCGTTGCCCTCTGGTCGAAACCTCCAGTAAATCAGGCCCCACGCCTCCAGACAAACAGTTTCTTCCCCTGGGTCATTCGGACTGTTGACAAACACTACCCCACCCCTACCCTCCCACCCACCAACCAACCAGAGTCATGGCCTGAGTAACCCTCATCATCTTTTATCTTGCCCTGTATATATTTCTCCTGCTTGTTATTTATTCCTGCTGTCTTACTATTTATATTCTATTCCGGCACAGTTGGTGTGGAGGACCCACAATTTAGTTGTACGTGTGCAATGAACATAATGGGCCATTCTATTCTATTCTATTCTATTCTAGATGCTTGAGTTCATTTAGAAATGCCGTAATCACATGATTTGTCTAGTAGAGCAGCTGCAGCTCTATCGTTTATGATACTTTCAGTATGATCTGCAGCACAGTAACAGAGCACATGTCACATTATTACTAAGTACATGGATCATTACAATTTTGGGCTTTTAAAGATTTCTCTGAGCTTTTCTTTTTCTAGGGTGGAATGAACATACAGCATGCATCCGTAATGTACTTTAAAAATGCGTGTTGTATTTACTCTAGTTATTGTCTAATATTAATATGTATTTGATGGAGTACCAAAAGGTTGATTCTGTTCATCTGGATGTAGCCTTTTCAATGGGAGAAACGTTTCGTCACTCATCTGACTTCTTCAGTCTCAGCTGACTGCAGGTTTCTCCAACCTTATAAACAGTACATTTGCACAATTACTGAAACCAGCCCACTGAATGAACAATGGGCTGTGAGGTCAGTTCCTTGATCATTAATATGCAAATTGTCATGACCATTGATCAACAACCACTGATAAATGCCCATTGATCAAAGACCTGCGGTCAGCTGAGACTGAAGCAATCACTTGGATGAGTGACGAAACATTTCTTCCATTGAAAACGCTACATCCAGATGAGCAGAATCAACCTTTTGGGATTTACTGACCTGGATGATTGAGCATGCATCAAGACATATTTGATGGAGTAATTAACTTTACCCAGATAACAGCTTTAAGTCTCTGCAGCGTCTGTATGTACTGATTTTTAATTACACAACATCATATTTACGTTAACCTAGCTATAAAAGTAGACGGTAGGAGGACAAAGAACATTTGAACTTTGGACCTCCACAGCCTAAAACCCACAGACTGTACAGGATTCAGTTGTAAACGCTGTGTACATTTTGTATTTACTCAGGTCTTTAGTCTTTGTCTACAATTAAAATTTATTTGATGATCTAAAACATGTAAATGTGACAAATCAGGAAGGGAGCAATTACTTTTTTACAGTACTATAGCTCAGTCTTTGTCTCATCTGTCCATAAAACCTTTCTCCAGAAAGCATTTGGCTTATCTGTGTGGGCAGCTGTCAACTATGGAGTAGGGGCTTCTTTCTTAGTTGGCACCTGTTTATGGCTGCTTTGAGCCTTGGTGGTTCCTGTTCTGTTCCTGAAAATCCTAACCAATTTCCTCTTATGTGATGGTGACAATCTTCCAGACTTCAGCAGTGTTGACACATCAGAATACATTGGACTTACATGTAGTTGTTTAAACAGATTATCTTGGAATCTGCAGTCAAACTTGCGGAAGGGAAATCTATAATTTCCCTTCCTACACCCATTGTTCTGAGTATTGGCAATCTAATGGGTGATGTCAAACAAGCATTTTTATGCTGGAAAAGAGAACGTACCAGAAAAATCATGTAAATCATGATCACTAACAAGAAGTTAGTCTCAGAGAGTTAAAAGACATTGTAGAAACGTCAGCACCACTTATTAAAAGATTTAAGTGAGTGTGTATATTTAAGTTATGTATATACTTCTGGCCCTGTGTGGATTAGAGAACATCCAAAATAAGTTCTAACTTGTGTGCCAAATTCTTGTCTTTTTAAGTCATTAAAGATTTAAAATAATTCCACCCTGGAAAAAAGAACAGTTCAATGAAACAGTACAAAATTACCATGACATTCATGCCCATGATGAATGTGTGTAAACGTCTGACCACAGCTATATATTAAAAAGATATATTGCTCCTTGCCACAGATAAAACTTATAGCCAGTAAGATGCCAAATAATACCAATGGGTAGGGTGCAGGCTCCCGTGGCATTAAGATCCTCTAACAAAGTTGACATAATGGGTAAAAGCTTCTGTTTGCTCTCCTCTTTGGATATAAAGCCGCTCTCCAGCTGCAACACAACAAAACAGAAAATCTCTAAGAAATCATCCCGAAGAAAGCGATCACGTGAACGTGTGAAAATGTGATACTCTTTACCTCCAGAGTTGTAAGGTATCCAGATAGCTTCTTAACAATAGGCTCGAGGCTGCAAGTATTGGTTCGGGCATCGCAAACAAGGCCGAGGTTAAACAGGAGGGCATTTCGGCTATATTTCTTATGTTCGATGCACACTGGGCAGCCAATTAACTTTTTTCCCATTGCAGTGCTAAGATAAAAAAAAGAGATTGGTTGATTAAGTTAATACACTATTATTTAAATACTAAGGACTTCAAACAAGGCAGGGAGACAGACGAGCAGAATAAGACTACATACACTGTTATTAATTTGTTTTGTAGCTCTGGCTTGGTGATAATATAAACCTGAACGGTGTCAAAGAGCTCCCGTGAGATGTACTCTTCTGGAACCTGTTAGGAGAGGACACAGTATGACAAACTATACCCAATACGATACATGGGCTCAGAAGGATTATGCAGAGTACATGTCAATGCCAAATGACTATGAAGGATTAAAAACCTGCCTCGCACGTTTAAAACACACTCAGTCATGAACAAGCTCGCAATTGGGGCATTTACAAAGATAATCATAACGACAGTAGCTATAAAATAAATAAATAACATAAAACTACGTTACCAGACCATCTGCACACTTACCTGATATGTTATCTTGGGACCCAGAGTAGGATGAAATTCGCTGAAAAATATACACTCTATCCGAGTGGGCATGCCCATCATAGATTTTATCCTCATGGAGAACTAATCCAGAGGTGTGTAAACCCTGCTGAGTCCTATTAACTTGCCCCAAAGTGCGTTAACAAGGTATCTCCTGTGTGTCTACTGTGGATCTTCCCAGTTTATTTACAGCAGCATGAGCTAGCATATAGCTTTAACGTTTAAAGACAACTTAGCGACGTCCTTAGGTACTTAAACGCAGGTCTAAAGTTAAAAGACGCCCTATAAAATCTGTTATTAATGTATTAAGCAGAGGTTATGGTCACCCAGGCATCAAACTATTCAATAACTCGACACATCAACGCATGCAAAAACCAGACAGGGAAGAACAACAATAATATCGCCTTCAGGGACACCCAGTAACTTAGCTTTAGAATAAAAATTGACGTCGCAAAAACTGTAAAGGCAACAATAAGACAGAAGAAGTCGTGGCGTATGTAGCACCAATAATGTTTTAAAATTAATATAAAAGTAACACGAACTCTGTTGTCGTATAAAAACGCTTTAAAGTATTGGGCCCTGAACAATTGCGCAACACTAAGGAAAATTTCCCTTTTAGACAATTTAAAGGTTTCGAATAATAGTATTTACCAAATGTAATATTACTTTTATTACTTGCTAATGACTTTTACATTTATAGATGCTATTTTACCATCTTACTTTACAGACTTAACGTATGTGACGGTGTAGCTTTATATGTTTTACAGTCCGTGAAGGCAACGTCGTTCAGTGGTGTCAGCGCTGCGCAGACTGCGCCGCAGTCGCTCTCTGTGCCGCGTGTAGGACACAGTACGAGCCCTGCCAGTTAGCTTGTTGTTCCGACACAGAAAAATGTTTGAATTTCATACAGGACCGTAAAGTGTAGCATGCTGATCTAACAGACTACTGCCGCCATGCAGCGAGTTCAGCCCGAGAGCGCATAGACTCCGGAAACCCAATGAATAACGATGTAAAGATACTGTTAACCATGTGGAGAAGGTCGCTGAGTACAAGCTACTACAGATGTTTTGGGTGCAGGAGTAGTGGACCAAAGGTAACTGGTCAATTTTTTTGTTTTGTTTTGTTTTTTTCCGGGAAGTCGACACGTTGCGTCCAAAGTGTTGAACAAACAAAAACATGACAGTGTCAAGACTTTAAAAACCAACCAACAGTCCAAACCTGTTCCTGTTGCCTGCTTAAGGAAATATTACTCACATTACAAACTGGCGCACCTGTAAGCACAGACCAGGTCAAATGAGTTTCTTGATGTGTTTATCAGTTGATTTCCATTGACGCAACTGGACCAAATCTGTTTTCTGTTATCTTCTTTTTAACAAAATAAAGTGGCAGGCACACACAGAGGCAGCAGAGCTCAGACTGAGTCAAGCCTTCAGGAAAACATTCCTGCAGTTCTCGATAAAGATTTACAAAAGCTCTCCTGCTTGTTGACAGGCGAACACACCTGTCCGTATTCCTCAGACTTATCAGTATCAAACCTTCCTGCTGCTTGCTGTCTGTTGGATTTGAAATTGTACTTGTTATTTATTGAAGCCGTTTGCACTTCTATATGCCAGTATAATTTTTTTTTTTTTTTTGCACAATCCCAGCCTTATTTTGTATTTATTTGTCTTTCTTTGCTTCATTTTTTAAAATCGCTGTTGCATATAAAATTTTGCACTACTTCACATTATAAGGCCTTTATTATGGGCCCGTGGTACTTTCAAGCAATTTTATTGTAGGTTATAGTTCTTTATGCTGCTACTATCACATAGTAATTTCCCCTTTAGGATCAGTAAAGTGATGATCAGTAAAGTATCTATCGATCTATCATGGCACATAACTTATACCTGTACTAAATAAATACTATATAAGCTTGAATAACTCAAATAAATAAATAAAAGGATTATTGTCCATACACATACAGTAACTAATAATAACACTTCTCTCCTACTGGATTACATTAAACTAATGTAAGTTAACTTGACTTACAGATTCCCTCTTAACCCCTTGGTTATAGGGAGGAAGTGAAAATTATTTATGACTTGTCAGTTAGACACGTGTTATGAGTAATCGTGAGTGGTGTCTGAGGTTTGATCTAAAATAAATCGTAATGATTTCCAAAGTTGCTGGAAATTCCCCCGAGGAAATGCTTAATGGGAGTCTAACATCAGTATTAAAAAACTGCAGTTGATTTCTGGATACTTGGAAATTTTATTTAAACTTAAATGCGACAGGTGCCAGTTTGGCTCCCTGGTTGAGCTGGTGAACATGTGCCATATGGTTCAGAACTCAGCAGCCTGGGTTTGAGTTCAACCCTCAGCCCTTTACTGTGTGCCTTCCCTCGTCCTTTCTCCCTTCTTTCCTTTCTACTCCACACTGCTTGACTATCAAAATAAAGGCAATAATGCTCGCTATAAAAATAAATCCTAAATGTCATGCTTTTAGGTACTTTGGAAGTCCCAAGCTGTCCGTACATGCAGCGCTCCAGCCTTACCCGCAGGCAGGATTACACCACTTCAGGCGGTGAAGTTATGGAAGAGGCGCTTTGAGGAGAGAGGTGTGACGGAGCCTGAGCAGTCCAGCCAGTACATCATTGCTCATCTCCTCGGAGCTAAAACTGTAACTTGCAAAATCTACATTGCCTCAGCACTTGCACTGACATGCAGTAAACGTGGATCAAGTTCACATAGCGTTTCTTTATCCAGATAGAAAGTCTTGAGCAGGAGAGATTAACAGAGTTTCTCAGCCGAGAACAAACAGAGCAGATATGGAAGCTCTGCACCAAACGTCTCTCCAGGTGAGTTTGTGCATAGATCTCTCTATATGCATTTAAGTGATTTTCAATTAAAATATTTACAATGTTGCATGTTTGGGTTAGGATGCCCGTGCAGTACGTGATTGAAGAGTGGGACTTCAGGGACCTGACGCTGAAGATGAGGCCTCCTGTGTTCATACCACGACCTGAAACGGAGGTAAAAGAAAAGACGAGGCAGTGCATGCTCGCAGTGAAGACACAGCAAATGATCACGAATAAGCCGAAATGTGATTTTTATTTCGTCTTTGCTGATGCAGGAGTTGGTCGAGCTGGTGCTCAATGATCTGCAGATGAAGACTGAGATGGGAGTGCCTGCTGAGACGGAGCCTACGTGCCTGGAAGTGGGATGTGGGTCTGGTGCCATTTCTCTTAGCCTGCTGAAGAGTCTGCCTCAGGTAGAATTTTGTGCTTCTCGTAAGATTTCAGACGAGTGGAATTACAATAAGGGACCCCACAGGAAAAAGGCTGTTTAACTTATTAATGTATTACCCCTCACTTTGGGTCTTAATACACTGACAATGAGTCAAATTTTTCATTACAACAGTGAAATATATGCAGTATATTGAGGTTTCTCATTGGTCGTGATATAACCACTGGTTGCTAGGGAAAAATGTGTATTCCTATGACTGGTTCTCATTTCTACCCTCACTGATTGAAATTGAATTTCATTGAGGTCAGGTTTTCTGCAAATCTTGTGAATGCGATAACTCGAGAAGTAGGTCACCTGAAGTATACATTTTTACATTTATACCACGTGTGCAACTGACAGGAGTTGATGTGTCGTGAGGGGTGGAGCTGACAGCCGTCAAAGTTTTTAATGTTTGTCTGCAAATACTCGCTAACTACGAGCTGAGCGGTAAAAAAATTGAAATAGTGTGATTCAGACTGGAAATAAGTAATCGTATAAGAAACACTTCTGTCATATCAATGAACGATAATAAATATTCAAAAGAGAATAAACACAGACCTTTCAAAATTAACTGTTTCCATCCATCCATTTTCTTCTGCTTATCCGGGGCCGGGTCGCGGGGGCAGCCACCCAAGCAGAGAAGCCCAGACCTCGTTCTCCCCAGCCACCTCCTCCAGCTTGTCCGGGGGAACACCAAGGCGTTCCCAGGCCAGCTGAGAGATATAATCTCTCCAGCGTGTCCTGGGTCTGCCCCGGGGCCTCCTCCTGGTGGGACATGCCCGGAACACCTCACTTCATTAGTTTCCATTTTAGAAATTGCAATGTTTATATTTTAACTGCATACATTTGTCAAAAAACAAACCAAAAAAACAAACCAAATAAACCCTTTGACGGTGTGCACGTGTAATATTAAAATTACATTCTCAAATTAAATAAAATAAGACATATATGAAGTCCAGACTAAGGCATAAAAATGTACCTTTATTTTCTTGGAAAGATTTCTGACATTAACAAGAGGCAAGTTTTTGTGCTGCTAAATCCAGACGTTATGATAGTGTAGATTTTAATCATTAATATTAATAATAATTCAGTGTTCCACCTAACAACCCTTTGGTCAGTGGATCGGAGTTTTATGGCCTGTGTGCACTTTTGTTGGCTTTTGAAAAAAGATTTCATTTTTATATTTTTAAATATTTTTGCAATTTAACTAACGCAATATTTGATATTATTGCAGGTATTATTTAGGACATTGCCGTCAACCTTCAGCACGCTGCATAATTTAACCAGTCTGGTATCAGACTAAGTTAACAGTTCATCTGCATATTTTAATAAATAATTAAAACTTCTGGAGGCTTACTGATTTTGACTGGGTGAAACGTATTGCAAATTCAAGAGTGGAGAATAGATTTATAGTTTGTCACATTAATATAGTGGCAGCCATGTTCAAGCCATGTTTAGAGTGATAGGAATCCTCTCCAAGGCTACTATTCATATCAATAAATATGTCCTTTAGAACACCCACTGACATTTTTAAGTGTGCTACTGGAAAGCACACAAAGATAAAATTATCCATGCATCCATCCAATTTCCCCCACTTATCCTTGTCAGGATCTTGGGGAGGCTGGAGGCTATTCCACATGCCATAGGGCGAGAGGTGAGATACACGCTGGACAGGTTGCCAGACAGTCACAGGGCTAACACTGACACACAACCATTCACACTCACAGTTAACCTAACCCCACTAACTGCACATGTTTATTCTGTTGGAGGAATCTGGAATACCTGGAAAGAACCATCCTAGACACAAGGAGAAACATTTCGTCATGAAAGAAAATGGGCAAAACAGAAGCTACACTCCCTTTGAAATATACATGTCCACTCTTGCCTGCTTATTTTTTTCTCTCTTTCTCTCCTTTTCTCCCTTCCTCTCCCTCTCTGCTCCTCTCTGAGACTTTATGCTGTCAACCAAAGGTTGAATGTAACAGTGATTTCCTTTTGACTTGCTCTCAGTTGGATTTGGAGCTGTACTGTAGACAAACAATGAAGCACAGAACAGGAATAGACATCTATAACAAACTAAAATAATAAACTACATCAGCCCCTTTTGCTGGCAGCTAGCGATATACCAGCAGACTAATGGCTCCGAAAGCTACAATTAGCTAATAATTTCGAGTGACTTTG